TTTTGTCTTTTCATTATTTTAATCTTTAATCATATTGAAGATAAAATAATAAAATAACAATCCTTGAAAACATTTTTCAAGATTTTATTAAAATAATCTTTTCTCCCAATTATAATATTATTATCCTCTTTATAATAATCATATTATTATTTTGGATTTGAATTTTAAAATCATATTTTAAAATCCAACTACTAATTTAGTAATTACATTAATTACTTAATTAATATCAAAAATTCAATTAATCAATCTAATTGATTAATTTATAATATTTCTTTAATTGACATCTAATTCATAATTAGATAATTAATTAAATAATCATATTATTTAATTAATCATTATCAATTAATTCTAACTCTTTAGAAATATCACTTTAACTTGTTTTCATTCAAATATTGGTGTGACCTTTTAAGTTCACTATTAATACTAGTAGTGGGTTTACAACTTACTTGTAATTTGAATTAATCATATTAATTCTTATTTGTTGAAACCCTTTAATTTCAAGAACCCACAAATCACGGGAACACCTAACAAGTAACATGATTACCTAGTATTAAGTGAATAACTAGTAAACCTTTTCAGTTACAATTACGTACATGTAAAATTCTTTCGACATCCAATTTCCCGATTAAATCTTGGGTATGAATTTATAAGTCGAAACCCAATTGATTTAATAACTATTATTCTATTTCAAGTTTAGTAATTCATTTATGAATCTCTATTCATCTCGCATTGGCCAAGGACTTTGAATTACAAACTATGAAACACATAGGAAATTCACTTATCTTACAAGTGTCGAATCCTTTGTTGGCCACTGACAAACTTCCATACATATTAATATAATACCCAAAATATCCCTTTATACGATTGTGCTAGCAATAAAAAAGATAAATCAAAGTATAATATAATATGCACAAAGTTACAATCGTGCCTCAAGTCATAGGATCAATCATGTACTATTGTAACATGAAAATTCTTATTCGACAAAAAATCTTTCATTAAGAATTTTCATACGGTCATGTTCAGTGAACTTGTTCTCTAACAAGCACCTACATATATGTATTTGCGTCCCACGCTAATGTTGATGGAATACAACATTCTTGTCCAACAAGCATACATCATATGTACAAGTCTTTCCGGATTATTCGATATCCCATCTCGAAATATCCTACGACTTGGAACTGAATTTAAGATCACAACTTTCAAGATATGTTCCATGATCACCATCTCTATGCGCAACCATACCTTATAGCTATATATGATCTAGGGACTTTATCTTAAGTGCAAATATAGGATAAATGCTAATTCATAAGATAAAGTAATGCCTATTTATTGATATAATTCCAATAGATTGTATTTACAAGTAGAATATGTCCAATCTGATTGGAACGACGGGTATTCTACTCTACCATGATATTGATAAAGGGAACCCTATCACCCTTATATAGGGTTGATACCTTGGGGCCGAAGAAAGTTTTTGTTACGGAAAATCCAATTAGATTCTACTTTCCTGACTTACCACGTCTCTATCTTGGCAAGAGTCGTTGAACGAGTGATTCTTTACTTCTTACTATGATTCTTTCTCCCTTTACTGTTTTCGCCCACGGTTCCTTAGGTCATTACTCTTACCGATCTGTTGTGGCCTTTCTGAGAATATACCTTACCTTGTCTTAAGGTCTAGCCCGACCACATTCTTAGGTCTATCTTGTCCTCAAACCACCCGACCTCGATATCTCGAGGTTGGTTAATTTGTCGGGCTCTTAGAGGTCGACACCTTCAGCTCGTGTCTTTTCTAGTAGCTTAGTACCTTATGCTCACATCCGAGCTACTTGACTAAGCTTCTTACTTTTGTACACACGAAAATTGTCCTAGCCCAGCCTTAACCGAGCTATTGCTCATACCGTTCTGTCGAGCTGCTTTTGGATGCCATATAAATAGTGTAAAAGAAAATATACTACCTCCTATTTTTTTTAAATGTCGTTTTGGCTTTATCAACTATTAACTAAATAAATGTTGTTTTGAGTCTTTTGTACATGTTTTTCCCATTATTACCCTCATTGAGTCAATAAATACACTACTTGTCTTTTCATATTCACTCTTCATTTTTTCTTAAAACATTTATTTCTATCTTTATTAAATAGGGTTATTATTGACAACAAAAATATTATTAATTATTGTGCAACTTCTCAAAACGACATTTATTTTGAATAGGAGTGAGTAATAATTTTTATGGAACAATGTGTAGTAATGATGATAAATTGTACTTGAAAATAAATATATAAAAATAACATAAATAAATAATATTTTTAGTCAGAGCAACATCAAATGCACACCATGATCCGCGGTGGTTTACCCTAAAAATTCCGCGAGTACAGGTTGTTGTAAAATCGAAATTGGCCTTTTCTCAATTGTCCAAATGACTTTCTAGTTTCGGGGGAAAGAGCTTGTGTAGCACAACCCTTCACCCCCACCCTCCTACATATCACCGTATATCTTTGAGTAATCACACAGCTGCCTCACTCATTATCTTTCTTCATCTCTTATTTTGTTTGCTTTTACACACCAATGGCAGACGCCGACCTCAAAATCGACGGCAACACCCTGGCGGCCATGTGCCTCGCCCGTGCCGGCGTCGACAAGATGTTCGGGGTCGTGGGCATCCCCGTCACCTCCCTCGCCAACCGGGCCGTGGCCCTCGGCATCCGATTCTTCGCCTTCCACAACGAGCAGTCCGCCGGCTACGCGGCCTCCGCCTACGGCTACCTCACGCGCCGCCCCGGCGTCCTCCTCACCGTATCCGGCCCCGGCTGCGTCCACGGTCTCGCCGGACTATCCAACGCCGCCGCCAACGCCTGGCCCATGGTAATGATATCTGGCTCCTCCGACCAGAGCCTTGCCGGCCGCGGGGACTTTCAGGAGCTCGATCAGATCGCTGCCGTCAAACCCTTTTCCAAATTCTCCGCCAGAGCCACTGACATAACCCGGATCCCCGAATCCGTCTTCAGCGTGGTCGATTGGGCCCTTGCTGGCCGCCCCGGCGGGACGTACCTGGACCTCCCCTCCGACGTCCTCCATCAAACCCTAGACGAGGCGGAGGCGCAGAGACTGATAACCCAAGCCTTCAATTTCAGAAACAAAGATCTAATGGAGAAGCCAAAAATTAATCATTCCCAAATCCAGAAGGCCGTGGAGTTACTGAGAACTGCGGAGCGGCCTCTCATTGTTTTCGGAAAAGGGGCGGCCTATGCGAGGGCTGAAAATGAGCTGACCAAACTAGTGGAGACCACTGGAATTCCTTTCCTTCCCACGCCAATGGGGAAAGGGCTTATCCCCGACACACATGAGCTGGCTGCCACGGCCGCACGGTCGCTGGCCATTGGCAAATGTGACGTGGCCTTAGTTGTTGGGGCCCGCCTCAACTGGCTCCTGCATTTTGGGGAGTCCCCAAAGTGGTCCGAGGACGTGAAATTCATACTCGTAGATATATCCGAGGATGAAATCAAGCTCAGAAAGCCATTTTCAGGCATAGTGGGTGATGCGAAAGACGTTGTTGGACTAATGCATAAGGAGATAAAGGATAATCCCTTTTGTTTTGGGAAAACTCATCCTTGGGTGGAGTCTATCAGGAACAAGGCAAAGGATAACATGACCAAAATGGAGGTCCAACTGGCGAGGGATGTGATCCCTTTCAATTTCTTGACGCCCATGAGGATCATCAGGGATGCGGTCCTCGGTGTGGGCCAGCCCGCCCCTGTTTTGGTATCTGAAGGGGCCAACACGATGGACGTGGGACGAGGGGTGCTCGTTCAGACCGAGCCTAGAACGAGGCTGGATGCCGGGACTTGGGGGACGATGGGTGTTGGGCTTGGCTACTGCATTGCTGCTGCTGTGGCATCGCCTGATAGGCTGGTGGTGGCAGTTGAAGGTGACTCCGGATTTGGGTTCAGTGCCATGGAAGTTGAGGTAGCTGTTGTTTTGTTGTTTTATTGTCTGAGATCGAATATTGTTTATTTGATTTTAACTTGTCACATTTATTTAGAGACCATGCTATTTAGTGTTTATGCTGTATTTTTTAAACCGCTTCAAGTACAAAATCATATTGTTCGTTTCTGTGCACTTTTTTATGGCCTACACTAGTTAATGTGGTTAGGAAGGACGGCGCCCTTACATTTTTTCAAAGTAAATGCACTTTTTGGCTCTGAGTTTCTGTTGGACTAATGGCATCGGTTCTAACTATGGCCTTGCTGAATGATATATGTTCATTTACAGAAACTTTGTTGGCTGTGGCATGAAGATTTATGTCTTGGACACCTCATTGCACTTTAGCAACAAAATTTTGTCATGGCTTTTGTTTTTAATAAAGGCTAGAATGCATTGAGTGGATCATTAGGCGTACGTACAGATGAGAGACATATTTCCTAAGTTTAGATGTAATAATGCTGAAACAGATCAAACAAAATGCTTCTGAGTGTTGTTTTTGGGCATGGTTATAACTGGTATGGATGTCTAGCAATGAAATATATACAAGTCTTAGGTTTTGCATGTGTATCTCAAGATTCTTTTCCTCTTCATAGTCTCCTCATTAGTGTCACATATGCTTAAGAAATGTACACAAAAAGTTACTGAGGCGGTCTTATGAAATGATCATCCTCATTATAAGTATGAATGTCTCGTGTAATACTGCATTGTGTTTCTATTACTAAGCACTTTCTATACATATCTAAATTTCTTCGTCCTCCCTTTCCCCGTCAGTCCTCCTTCAGTTCTTTCTTTTACTTCTCTTTTTTTGTTAACAATATGTATGTATTATTGGTTTTTGTAGACACTAGTTCGATATCAGTTGCCGGTGGTAGTCATAGTCTTCAACAATGGTGGGGTGTATGGTGGTGATAGGAGAAACCCTGAAGAAATGAGCGGGCCGTATAAAGACGATCCTGCACCCACGTCCTTTGTGGCTGGAGCATCCTATCACCTTCTTATTGAATCTTTTGGTGGGAAAGGCTACCTTGCTTCAACTCCCGATGACCTCAAATCTGCACTCCGACAATCTTTCTCCGCAAGAAAGCCCGCAGTCATAAATGTGACTATTGATCCATATGCTGGGGCAGAGAGTGGTAGGCTGCAGCACAAAAACTGAGCCTGCGATGTAATCAAATGTACAACACAATCTGGGGTAAAGCAGATAATGAATTATTAAAATTTATTAATAAGCTTTATTTTTGCGCCATTAGGAAATGGTTTGGTATGTAATATGTTGATCGGATCGGATCATCTATTGTAGCTATTTCTCTGGGTTTTTATTCTGGTGGCGATGATTAGTTCCACTGTAATAAGGTCAGACGAGTGTGCTTTTATGAAGGCCAAATGTGCTCCATGTGGATGTTTTATGTAAATTGCAATACCATTATACTTTCTTTATACAAAAATGATACATAGCCAACTTGTGTATTTTTTTAATTTATTTGAGATTAAAGGGGGTGTATTCGTTTCGGAATTCGAGTGACATTTAAAGACTTTTTAAGATTTAAGATTTTTGAGGATTTTTAGATTTTAAAAGAATCCTATAAAATACCAAGTCTAAAGGTGAGATTTGTAGTGGGATTTCCTACATGTTTTTTTCTTTAGAAATCCCAGCAAATCTTAAAAAGTCCTTATAAATCCTAACCTTAAATTAGTTAAATACACCTGGATTTCGTAAGACTTTTTAAAATCCTAATTGAATACCTCAAGACTTTTAAAAGTCTTGAGAAATCTAAATTAAATACACCAGGATTTCTAAAGTCCTAAAATTTTTTTAAAAGTCTTTATAAATCTCAATTAAATACACCCTTCTAAGATTTGACGAGTCTTTTTAAGATTTGGTGGGATTTTTTTAAAAAAAAAAAAATTATATGAAATTTCACTTCAAATTCTACCTTTAAATTTAAAATTTCGCAAAATTTGCTCAAAATCTGAAAATTTTTAAAAAATCTCAAATTTTAAAAAAAAACTTAAAATGTCACTTAAAATCTCAATAAAAATATACCGTAACCATGTAACTGACTGCACCCGTAACAATCTCGTCCCTCCTTTGTCTCTCCCATCTCTTCTATCCCACATCAATTCTTCCTCTTCCTCTAATCTTCTTCTATTTCTCTCTCTAATTTCCAGAAATTATAATAATTAAAAAAAAAAAAAGGCCTAACATATGATATGACCAACACACTCACTCACTGTTGTGCTTATCTGTTCCCCAAAAAATCTTGGTAATATGGCTTCCCAGACTGTATTCGCAAATTCATCCATGAAAATGCCTATTTCTTGCCGACCTACGGAGACTGTTTGTCGCCTTCTTCAATCGCAGAACTGTCGTTCGAGGAAACGGAAATTGTCAATCGAGTGTTCCCATAATCAAATTCGAACTCTGCGGACATGTAAGAACTGCAAATCACAGTTCGAGCCTTGCCTCAATCATCCTCGTGCTTGCCGCTATCACCCTGCTCATTTTGGGGGTAACCGAGTGAATATTATTTCCATTTTTTAATTTTTTTTTTTTTTTTTCGTCTGCTTCTTAATTGATTGAGTGAAATAACACAATTTCATGTTTGATGGTTGTCTTGTTATTGTAGAAATGTGAGATTGGTACATTCTTAGACTCGGAAGAGTTCTGATTTGTTGTAAATTAATTGATGAGGTTATCATGAACACAGCTGGGTTGTGAATAAGGTTTCTTATAGCTATCTTCTTTTTTTTTTTAATTGTATAATTGTGTAGTGGAAAATGAATCATCTTCACAAGTTTATTTAATTTGAGTCAAGTTGATCAACCTATTCTATATGTTTGATCCATGGGCTGTCATAATTAGCTTGACTGAGCCCTTAGTGGTAGCTAAATCTTTTGCTCCATGGGCTTTTTTTCTGTTAGGGTTATACTTTTACTTGGAGAGTCTTTTGCCCCTAATATACATGCAGTGATTTACTAATGTGTCTTTATGTTTGTCAGGTGAAACAAAGAGAAAATTCGAGAGCGTTTACACGGGTGGTACTATGGATACTCCAGAATCTGGAAAAGTATTCCAGTACTGGCATTGTTGCGGGTCTGAGAATCCCTTTGATCCTGGGTGCACGGCAGCACCTCATATTTGTTATGATGATTGAGGAAGGATTAAAGCTTGTAAGGACATTTAAACACAAGGACATATACTTCTGTATGTATGTTCATATGTTCATCTTCTTCTTCCTTTTTTTTTGAAAAAAAAAATAAAAAAAAAAAACTGAAATTGCCATCACATGTATCTATGGAAGATTGCAGATCATTTTCACACTTCCTGGCTGAACATTACGGAAAAGAATTTTTGTTTTCCCCTTCCTGTTTTGTTTTTCCTATTTCTGTTCGAAGCTTCATATTGATGGTTGCGCGTTTGAGATGCAACACACCTTATTCAACTGTAAGCAATATGTTGTAATTTTATCTGGGTTCTCTCTCTGTTTGGTATGGTTTTTGGCAGAAACTTCATCAAGGTTGAGACTACTGAGGATACACTCAATTGTTGGATGTCACGCACTCATATTTCACAACTATAGAGAATATAATAGATCTTTTCAATGCTTAATGGAAAGTTAAGAATATTGAACAAGTTTTCTTCCTTTATTTATTTATTCCTTCCTCTCTGCCTTTTTTATATATTCTTTAACAACAAAAGTGACTGGTAGTAAGGTATACATATAGTCTTTTTCTTTGTTTGTTACAATTTTCCTTTTCAAATCATACACGTATACAAATATGCTTTGAATCACCAAAGATAGGTATCTCTCTCTATCCTAAATCCCCCAGATCGTCTCTCCGAAACCCTCGCTCGGCCTTCAATTGCGGTGCCTCTCTTCCGGCGGTCCCATATTCTTGCGATTCTGGCGAGCATCGGGCTCGCCCTAGGTTTGCTAGTGGTGGCTTGGTGGCCGTTTCGCCTCTCCCTCCCCGTACGTAGTCCCGCTCTTGTTACCGAGCGCCATGGCGGACGAAAAATCGGAAAACGACCGAAAGACACAAGATAGATCAAAATAGAGAGAACCACGAAATAAACTACAGAACGAACTAAAAACAAATTAAAAGGCCTAACATGAGGGAAAAAGAAAGATAAAATGACAATGAAAAATGCAACAAAAATGAGACAAACATATATATTGGAGTAATTTAAAGGAAAAAGAGTGTATGTGTAAGGAGTGCAATAGAAAGAAAATGTGAAGGAATAATTGGAAAAATGATGTTGTAATTGGGGATTTATCTCCAATTACTTAATAAATAATAATATTTGAGGATTTTTTTTTTTTTTTTTTGATATGTCTATTTATAAACTTCCTTCTATTTAGTTACATTACATATAGATATATCAAATAAATATATAAATATTTTCTTATTTAGTTTTTAAGAGCATGTTTGGATATAATTTTTTTTGGTTTTGTTGGATTTTTTTGTTTGATTTGGTTAATTTTGAAAAGAGTGGTATGATTAGTTGTTAGTGGGTATATTAAAATAATATTTAAAATAAAATAATTATAATTAATTTGATAGTTAGTTAAAATATGTGAGTGGATGAATAATGAATTAAGATTGGTGTGTGTATGAATGACTAATACGTACCTCGTGCGATGCACGTGCTATATTTATTTTGGTAAAATTTATAAATAGAAGGCTATTAATATATAAGTTATGATACATAGAGGATTTGTCAACAAATCATAAAATGTTAGTCAAGAAAAAAGTCGTACATTATTAAAAATCTCATCGTTTTTTCATGCAAAATTATTTGGCACTTGACAACTGTAGACCGATATTCTCTTTACTTTGTAATTGATAACACCTCATTCCTCTAATTCTGTGCTGATTTTTGGAATGTCAACACCACAAAATAAAATTATAGTGAAAATATGTAGTAATATGACAAATATTAAAGATACGATTTATGAGGTGAAATTTAATTTGATATGGAATATAAGAAAAGTTGTTACCTTAAAGTGCGGATTTATAGTATATCTTTTTCCAATCATTGTCATTGTTTATTCCAAATCCATTCCAATATTTAAAACATTTTGTTTTGTTATGTTTTAACATAGATTTGGAATTTCGATGGTATTTTTGTGAACAATATTTATAAAAATAATTACGTTGAAAAAAAAACAATGATATGATATCATTTATACTTCAAAACTAACTAAATGAATCGGATGACATGCAAATCATATTTTTTAAGGAAAAAATATTTCATAAATAAATTAATTTGTGTATATTTATAATTCATTTTGCATGGATCTTGTGTATATCTCTTTTGAATAAGACAATCATTTTTTTGCTTGGATTTATAATGTATAACCTTTTCACGTGATAAATAAGGATATGCAAATCGTATTTATTTTATTTTATTTTATTTATTTTATTTTGTATATATAAATGATAAGCTTGAATGTTAATCGTTTATCTTGAAAATTTGAATGCTATTTATTCCAAAAAATGTTTGTTACGTTTTGAATAGGAATGATTGAACTGTTGTAGTTATATATATCACACTTTTATAGCTTATTTTCATTAAAAGAATATAAAAATAAAATTGAGAATATAACGTGTTTAATTCCATTGCAGTTTTAAATTTTGTTTTAAAAAAATATAACTATTGTCCATAATTAGAATGAGATTTCATTTTATTAATCGGTGGTTTTAAAAATCTTCTATGAAAAAAAAATACACTCAACCAAATCATTACCATAAAATAATTGATTTTG